ACACATGGCCAATGGCAGTTTGAATCCCAGACCTGGCAACTTCCTTTCTCACTTTTTCTCTCTTTCTCTCTCTCAGGTTCATGCGCGTTCTCCCTCGTGCTCTCCCTTGTGCTCTCTCTTGCTCGGTCCCTCTCTGGTCAAATTTAAGTAAATAAGTAAATAAAGTTAAATTAAAAAAATAATTTTTGGAAAAAAGTTTTAAAAAGTAGTCTCAAGAAAAAAATAAAAAGGTAATCTCTACAAGCATGCAACCAAGCTAGTCAGTTCAGCCTCTCAGATGAACTTGTCTTGAAACAGAGAGGAAAGTCACGATAATTAAAGCCTGTGGTCACCCTTGCGCAAGGTAGAACCTTACGCCTGCCTTACCTGGTAAGGTAAAGGGTAATGCCATAATTATTACAGGTTGTGAAAGCACCTTCAGGCAAAAGTGTCTGAGTGTCTGTCGTTACTCTGAAAACTCCTTCTAAACGGTTATAATAGCATATGCCACATGAGCAAAACACAACCTTATAACTAGCTTGTTTGTGGAAAGACATCCTTTGTCCACAGACAAGTATTCTGAAAATACCACCCACTCAAGTGGCATAGATCCTGAGCCGGAAAAACAGCTACCATAGCAGCTTTGTGAAACCTGCCATTCCTGGCTTTACTTTAATCTTCCTCTGTCTACACCCTTGCTTCAGCTCCTGCCACAGACGTACAATTACTAAGTAGTATTATTGCTTGATAATAACTATAATTATGAGGACTGTCCAAGATGGAAAAGACAAGAGAAATCAAATTCTCATACATACTGGTGTCTGAGCTGGACAGTGTTTCACAGAGACCCTGAACCCCCTTCCTGTCTGGTCCTGCGTGACTTGGAGGCCGACCAGCCCATATCTGGAACTTCAAAGCGCGAGGACTGACCACCCAAGGGCAAGGACCAGGACCACCGAACCAGGAACCGAGATTGCAAAGTCCTCCCGCGATCCTAGAGAGGACCCGGAAGCCTAGAGCGGTCCCGGAAGGCGAGCTGCTGACACACTTCCGGCCTTTGTGACTCATTGTGTCTGTGTCGAGGCGTCGGGAGGGCCTAGGTCCGTTTGCGGTGCCCTTCGGTTGGCCTGAGCCCCAGAGTCAACTCCCCTCTCTCGCCCAGCGACCCCAGGCCGCTCCCGGGGCTCACGGTGAGGCCTGGGGCCGGCCTCTGGGGAGGGCGGGCGGGGCCGCAGGGGTGTGTACGTGAGGGTGGGCTGTGCAGCTGCAGAGGGGCTCCCCTCCCGGTGGCCTCGGCGGAGAGCGAAGAGAATCATGCCCCAGCCTCCTCCCCAGGCCCGGCCGCAGGAAACGCTGTCTCCCAGGGAGACGTCCCCGCCCCACCCCCGGGTCCAGGCGAGAGTGGCCGCGGCTTTCAGTGGCCTGGGGTGCTTGGAAACCTGGAGAGAAGCTGTCTGCCGGCCCCTTCCTGGCCCCTCGCCCTCAAGTGTTTCGTCTTCGTCATTTGACGTTTCTGAGAACAGGGTCGCGAGCGAACCGACCCCTGTCTGATATCTCTGCTCTCCCGTCGTCGCCATTTGCTTTGATTCCGGTGAGAGGTTTTTTGTTTTTTGTTTTTCTGGTTTTTGTTTTTTTTCTGGGTCCTTCAGGACCTCGTGGGGAAAAAGGCGGAAAGCCGCGAGGTGGACACGTTTTGAGGTGCTGCGTACGTTTCCAGATCCCCTGGTTTTCCTCGGCCCACTCCCCCCACCCCCCACTGTTTGGTGATTAAAAGTATTTGAAGCCTAGTCATAGTGGATAAGGAAATTATTCGGATCTATTAGCTTATATACTCCTCGCTCAACTTTATGAAATGTTTCGAAGGTATCTTTAAAATGAGCTGTCCGGGAGATTAGGTGGATTTTTCAGCTCTGGGTAACTGATCACTGTCTTGATGTGAAGGAGGAGTAAAGGGAATTGGTGGAATTGCACTGGACCATAGGAGACTGATATGCTGAGTGACCTTGAATGAGACAAGACACTAACTCCCACTTTTGTCAATAAAATGAACTAGATTTTCTCAAAAGGCCCTTCCAACTTTGAAGTGATTTGAAATGGTCAGTATAAGTAAAAACAAAACAAACAAACAAAAAATCAACTACTGCTTAGTTTCACACTTGCCCTCCCAGCGCCCCTCTCCTGCAATGCCTCTAGTACCCAATAAGATACTTTCATGTTAGAAAGTGACTGTTTCGTGGCCTGGGACCAAAGAAAGCATTTATTGTAAGGGCCAGTGCTAGGCGGATTGGAGGCGGTCAATAAATAACTTGTTGAATTGAATTGTGGAGATTTCATTGTAACCACATCAACAAAGCACTGTTAGTGTATATATTGGCCAAATATGGAGAAATAACTTTGTTCCATAGGGAGCTATAAGGAAGATTTGCCCCAGAATGTTTCTTCAGGTTTGTATCTTCTGAATTACTATGCAAGATTCTTAATCATTATTTCAGGCAGTTTTCACTATTTTGAAATACAAACAGAGAAGCTAGCTATTTGATACTGTAGTCTTCTGCTGATTCTCTAATTGATCTAAGCATTTAAATGTTTTCTATGTTTTATATTGAATATAGCTTAATGTTACATTAAATCTTTTTTATTCTGTGGTATTGTCACTATCCTTTGAATAACTAGCTTTTAAAACATTTTATACTTCTTGGGAACCAGCAGTTAGCGTAATGGCTATATCGCTGGACTCCCACGTAGTCAACCACGGTTTGCGTCCTGGACCGGGTGGCTTAAAACTCACGCCGGGTGCGTGTGCATGCGTGCCCAAGATCCTGGGAGGAGAATGGAGAAGGGATTACAGCGTGACCATCCCCCCTGGGGGGTGATTTCTCGCTTTCTGTCTCTATGTCTCTCTCTCTGTCTGTCTGGCGAGCACATGGGCCCTATAGCAAAAACCTCCCCCCCAAAAAAAAAAAAAATAAACATTTTGTATTTCATTTTTAAAAAAGAAACAGGGGTAAAGTGGCAATTTAAACTTTCAAGACATTGCCCTGGAAAAGATACTGGGCTATTTAGAAAACAGCCTCTGAAATAAACTGAGTTTGTAACTCCAAGCCCTTTGTAGAATTTATTCTTGGTGAGAACTGGCTGCTGGGGTAATCTTATCTAAAGTAGATGATATATCAGAATATTTTTTAATTCAAAAACAACACCCCCCACCACCACCCCTCCTTTGATTGATAAGGATGCTGAATGCTGGAGAAGTCAACTAATACATTCAAGGATGTGTAACTTATCTGTGGGAAACTAGTGTTCCAGCCTGTACTACTTTCATTGCTATAGGATTTCTCCCATTGCTTATTCTAAGCAGGCTGAAAAGTGGAATGTGTAATTACATCTGAAGTTTATGAGAAAAAATGAGAACATTTTTCTAGCTCTATTACATGCCAGGCACTGTTTGAAATGCTTAGTGTATGTTAATTCATCTAGTCCTCATCAACTCTATGGGGCAAATACTGTTTTTCATTAGCATTGTACAGATGATGAAATAGATGCATATGAAGGTTAACTTGCCCAAGGTCATCAGCTAACGAGGTGGAACAGCTTTAATCTAACACAGAATTCTTCATATGACTCCTGGAATAAATTTGAAGGCAACATTGATGGCAGAATGAATAGGCCAAAAAAAAAAAAAAAAAGGAAATTTAATTGTAACATTGTAAATTCAGTCAAGTTTTGGTTTGGTTTTGTTTGTTTGTTTTTTTCTTTTCTTTTGAGAGGTTTTTACTATAGGGCGCTTGCACTTGCCAGAGAGACAGAAAACAAGAAATCATCCCCCAAGAGGGATGGCCATGCCGCAATCCCTTCTCCTCCATCCTCCTCTTTGGATCTTGGGCACACGTGCGTGTGCACGCGTACACACACACACACACGCACGCCCTGTGTGAGTTTAAGCCACTGGGTCCAGGGCTCAAACCGTGGTCAACTACTTGGGAGTCCAGCGACATAGCTATTATGCCAACTACTGGTCCCCAGTCAAGTGTTTTTATAAACTAATGTTTGCAAGGCTAGCAAGTGGCATGGTGATGAACATGCTGGACTCACACATGACCAGCTGTGTTTTAAATCCTGGTCTTAGTGACTAGCTTTCTCACTTCCCCTCTCTCTCTGGTGAGTGCACATGACCTATAGCAAATCTTAAAAAATAATAATAATTTAAAAAAAAAAAAGCCTAATGCTTGCAAAGAATCATGGTCTAAAAAGTATAAAGAATCGTGCTTTTAACTAAGTTGACCCTTAACTTAGTCTTGCTGAGGCAGAAGGCAAGAAAAATTAAACTACAGAGAACTAAATAAAAGAAATTACATAGCAGGTAGTTAGTGAAGACCTTTAGGACTTTTGGAGGGTAAGAGAAGATTGTGTGTGCAGATCATCTGTAAAATCTAGCCTTTCCACTGGTGTTATGGCTTTTTTTTTTTTTTTTTTTTTTTTTTTTTTTTTTTTTTTTGTCCTAGAGCAGGAGAGGAGAAAAATTGGGTTTGGAGCAGAGGGAATGTCCCCATACCCTTGTCTCTGATCCTTTGGGTCTTGTTTCTGCATCAGAGCCCCTTCCTGTTGATTCCCACTGACCTAAAGTGGCCTGTTTCATAGCAGAGACAGTATAAAACTTTGTAGAGATTTCTTATGGCCCAGCTAGCTACTATTTCTGTTCCGTTACCCTGTTAGAAAGTCCCACCTGATCATATAGTAGACAGTTTCTACTTACATCTTCTACTGTGTCTGCTCTCCTTCCCCAGAAGAGCTTCGTTCACAGTGACTGGTGAAAACCGGATGGTAGGTGAGGCCTGTTTCTGAGTGGTCATTCTCATAGTCCCATTCATAGTCTGTTGTTTTAGAAAGAATCTGTATGTGTGTAGGACTTCCTTAATTTAATGTAATAGTTGGAGAGCTTGAACTGAGGAGTTGCAGAATTTCAAATCTTGGCTCTGCCTTTTAGTTACAGTAAACTATTTGGTGTTATAAACCTCAGTTTAATTGTTATGAAATGAGATGATAATTGAGCTACCTCCTAAGCTTGATCTGTGGTCAAATGAAATGCATAATATAGTACCCTATTTGTAGAGAGCACTAAGTGTTGACTCTTACTAATTAACACCTTTTTGGAAGTTTTTGGATAGCAGTGAGGGGTAAGTCTCATTTCAGCTTTGCTTTGAAGGATCACAGTTGGATTGGAAAGGGCCGAAAGGACTGGAAATGTAGGCATTGAGTAGGATGTGAGGAAAGGATGGCAGCTCTATAAGGCATACGTAGGAAATACCGAGGGGGTTCATCTTGTTGAAAGAGTAAAAAAGCTTGAGGGAAAATTAGGGCCAAGTACTGGAGGGTGTTAACTGCAAGGTGGTAGTATTTTAGGAAGAACCATCTGAGAAGGAGGCAGAAGATAAATTGTGGGACAATAGGGAGAAAATAAAGGCAGGCTGGACTTCATGGGACTGTGTGTGTGTGTGTGTGTGTATGAACAAAGAATTACTTCTCCCAGGTGCTTGGAGACAGAATACATACAAGGAGCAGGGAATCAAAGAAAATGAGGTTTCAGGCCAGCCAGTGGCATGGTGGTTATGGTTAAGGCAGCTGGATCCCATCTGGTGGACTGCATGATTCATATGCCAGACTCTGCTACTTTAAAGCATGCTTACCCCAAATCCTGAAAGGGGAGATGGAAGAGAAGGACTTGTAGCATGATCATCCCCTGATGGGAGGTGATTTCTCACACTACAACATCCACCCTGCCTCAGGGAATGTATGTACCCTCTAGCAAATTAAAGGAGAAAAGAAAAAGTGAGGCTTTAAGCCTAAGTGAGATAGTTATAGACTATCTCAATTACTAATTGCCACTAAATATAATAAGGGGCCAGCTGGTGATATGGTGGTTAAAGTGACTAGATCCCACATGGCCAACTGTAAGGTTTCAGTACCAGACCTGGTGGCTTGAGAAACGTATGGGATACGTGTGTGCATGCCCAAATCATGAAAAAATGGAGAAGGGATTATGGTGTGACCATCTTTCATGGGGTAGTGGGTGGGAGTGGTTTTCTTGCTTTCTGTCTCCTGTGAGTTTTCCCATGAATGCACCTTCTGGCAAATTAGAAGCAAAAGAAAAAAGCAAGAATTGTGGTAGGGCTGGAATAGGGTGGTTCTTAATGTCTATTCATTGTAACAGTCAAATTGAGCTAAGTACAAAGAACCCGAGTCCCTGTCCTTGGGAAGCTTAAAATTTAGTTAAGAGGTGGAGGTAGGAACTGCATCCCCAATAAGGATGATATTAAGGAGGTTATAAGTGACCTAAGATAGGAACAAAGAAGATACTAAGTGTGTTCAGAGAAGAATGATAATTAATTCGGGATATCTGGAGAGATCTGCATTGGTGAGTGACAGCATTGATGGTGGGAGATTGTTCACAGCAGAGGGGTGAGGGTGAAACCTCAGGGCCTATGCTTGGGGAGTGCTAATGGGTGAGGTAAGCTGAAATGTAGGTGATCACTATCAAGTAAAGTGGTGGAAGCTAAGACTGTGTGTTGTGAAGGCTCTTGAACTTGGACTTGG